CAGTTTTCAAACCATATGGGGCACAGCATGTGTTTTAGGATATAACTCAGGTTTTTGAACACACTTCGTTATTATTGTTCATTTATTTGTTTGCTGGAAATTAGAACTGAATTTAAAAACAGTTTTGAAGCAATTCTTTGCACTTAACAAACAAAATTTATTATTTATAGGCTAATTGATGTCTGTGCGTACAAGGTTTCCCTATCCGCGAGAGCGAAAATGAAAGTAGATAATTGATCTCTCATTCTCGTGCTGCAGATGCTCTGTTTTACTGTTTTCTTACTAGTGAAATGCTCAGTTTTCCACTTCCACTAACTTTACGTCATGTAAATAGCAAATCTGCTTATGGCGCCACACAACTGGCTCTTAAAGGGAATGGGAGATGAGACTCTGATTGGTTTATTCTCAAAACACAACTATAACTCATTAAGAAAATAAGCTCAACCCTTTTAGACCATGTGCCACGGCGCAAAGCGTATTTTTCTTTCCTTAAAATAATAAAAGTGGATTCTGACACGGCACGCCCCTAATGCTTTTGCGCCCTGTGCTTTACACATTGCGCATGGATCGTCAAAATAGAGCTCTAGGTCTCTGCTGGCTTTAACTACTTATCTTATCTCGGGACCTGAACTAGCAGAACCCACTCCAAGATTTGAGAAGTAAGATAATACTTTTATTGATAAACTATGGTGCGAGCGTTAAGATGCTTAAAACCCGCTTAAAAAATTGCTCAAAATTATCTGCAGCAGTCCTGGGAAATGGATATAGGCCCATGTAAAAACTTTGATTTAAAAAGGCTCAAAGATTTAAATATTGGTATTTATCTAACTCGCAGAAGCAATGACGCGTTACAACCATTCACTCGAGAAGCAGCGAGTGATGAATCGCTACACACATATGCCTGATTCTCCCATAATGAAACCGCTTTATCCAGTCGACCATGGTGCATGCATCGTGGTTTCCGACGTTGCTGTAGTTACCATCAACAAGGTCACCTGTACATGTGCATTTTTTACATAGACGTTGTGCAGTATTGAGACCAAACCTAAATAGGTAAAAAATAGTTTAAACGCTTCTGATCTGTTGACATTCTACCAGCTTATGGTATCTGCCAAGTGCCAGGATGATGGTTCTCCTTTTATATCCATAATCTCTCTGGCCTTGATGATCTGTTGCGTTCATTTTAAATTTATTCAAATCATTGGTAGTTTATTCAGTAAAGACTTCTTCTGTACAAGTTAACCTGCCGCAAATAGCAGGTCCATTCAAAACATTTCAGGGTGGCTGCGATAACTTATCTGTTTAGTTTAGGGGGACACGAGTTATAATAATTTGGAAACCACTGCTCTAGTGGACCTAACATATATTAAGTATTTAAGCAATGTAATGGTTTAAAACAGGTGGAACATGTTGGGAGAAATATATATTTGTCTTTGAGTTAATTTGAATTATTAGCCCCCCTGAATTATTAGCCCCCTGTTTATTTTTTCCCCAATTTCTGTTTAATAGAGAGAAGTTTTTTTTTCAACACATTTCTAAACATAATAGTTTTAATAACTCATTTCTAATAACTGATTTATTTTATCTTTGCTGAGATGACAATACCTAATATTTTACTAGATATTTTTTAAGACACTTCTACACTGCCTAAAGTGACATTTTAAAGGCTTAACTACTGTAGGTTAATTTGGTTAACTAGGCAGGATAGAGTAATTGGGCAAATTAATGTATGATGATTGTTTGCTCTGTAGATTATTGAAAAAAAAGAGGCTAATAATTTTGTCCTTAAAATGGTATTTAAAAATTTTAAAACTGCTTCTATTCTAGCCGAAATAAAACAAATAAGACTTTCTTCTGAAGAAAAAAATATTATCAGACATACTGTGAAAAATTCCTTGCTCTGTTAAACATAATTTGGGAAATATTTGAAATGGAACAATTCAAAGGCGGGCTAATAATTCTGACGTCAACCATAAATATGGATTTATATTTAATAATCATTATCAGAAACAACCCCAAAATAACTAAAAATTATTTTATTTATCAATTTCACTCTCCTTGCATTTACATGTAGCTTGTCAGGTCCATTTGAGCATGTGGATTAATAATCATAGGGAAAGATAAGCTGTGTGCTTAAGCAGTCAGCATTTCTGGTTTGATCTTTCTATGTCCAGTTTTGTCTCGGGTGCCTGAGTTTGATGGGTGCATTTTTCGGGTTTGTTTGCAATTAGGATTTGGACCGAGTTTAGCCATGGCTAATGCGTGTGCCATGCATGTCTCTGGCTCTCAGTAGTGAATCATTAACCTCTCAGTCTTCTGCCTCTGTCTAATTGGTTTCAGACTCAGCCAGCTAATGTTTCTCTGTGACATTTGTCTCAATGTATTCCAGTATTAAGGCGGAAATGAGCAAACAGCATCCTGAAGCTTCTGTTATCATATCTAAACCGGCGTAAACAAGTCAGCTGTGCTTGGACAAACATTTAGCAAGATTTGAATATAGAATATAACCCCCTTATGGTTATCCATTTGTAAGCAAATGTTTAACTATTCCAGGTGCTGTTAATCATAACCTGCGGTCATGTATTGTGTTACACACGTCTGGCTTTTGAATAGTAATGTTTCACTGTGTTTAACTCCAGGGAAAGCCACCAGGGTTGAACTCACCCGAAAGCCTAAAATAAAAAGCAAAAAGAAGATTTTATATGTGAACAGTTCTTACCCGTTTAACCTTTGCAATGCTTTAAAAATTTGTGGTTGTTATATGTTCCTCTTTCATTTCAATCTATCTTAAAGGGCACCTATTTTACCCCTTTTTCAATATTTAAGATAAGTCTTTTACGTTTCCAGAATGTGTCTGTAAAGTTTCAGCTCAAAACACCCATGAGATTATTTATTATAGCCGTCAGAATATTGGATTTTCTGCTCTGAACACTGTATCTGTTTTTTGTGGCCTGTGCCTTTAATGCTAGTACTCCCTGCCCATCGTGCCTATGTGCCTGTCATTGAAAATGCATAAGTTTTGCTACAGTTACGACATTCATCCACACAACGCTGGAGTTTTCTAACTGTGTAACAAATGATAAGAAGATGTTGGTCATTTAAAATACAGACATATTACCTCTATAAATTAATGAAATACGGTAGTTTACCGTGAAAATGAGAAATTACTTTTACGGTTTGTACCCTATTTTTAACGGTAAAGTATTGGCAACCACAGCTGCCATTTTTTACCGTAAATTTTACAGATTTATTTTTTACAGTGTGGCCGTATTCATTTTAAAGCTGCTGCTCCGTGTTAATGTGTATGAGGGGAAACGGAGACATCTGAAAACGGAGGCGTGGGTGCAGACAGTCGCAATCTGATCGGTGCTTTTTCCGCAATATTAAGTAACCTACACAGTTTAGCCTTGCACATCCTTTCCTTGTAAGTTCAGACTTCGCAAGTTTAATAAAAAAAAAAAAAAAAAAACCTAAGGACACGTCGCATAAATCTTCAAAGGGAACAGCATACTTTTATAACCTCTTTCACATCACTCTGGCTACGCTGTTTCACTTTCTTAGCAATAAAATAAAAACATTATATAAAGAACTGCCTATTTTTATTTAGATATTAGCAACTTAACAGACAGGCGTTGTGTAGGGTTATATTTGTATGAGTGTCATCTTCACTGTATGCATATTTATAACAAAACGGAGCCTATAACATCACTGGCTCCTTTTTATTGAACATTCGAAACATACCCTCTCTTTTGCTGAATATCAGTTTTAATAATCAATAATAGCCATTATCAAAATATAAAATACAATAAGTTTATACATTACAGGAAAAAAAGGCAAGCGATCAGTCAAATGTGCAGAATCAGTGTACACGGTTACATAAATTATTATATTAACTTATCTTTGCACTTAGTCAAAACACCTTACCTGAGAACAAGTAATACATTTAAAAAGTCGAGGAATATATCGTTGGATAGACAACAAGATTATTTAAATATCACGTTTAAGAAATATAGTGAAATGAGATCCTGCGGTAGATTCTTGATGAGCAGTCAGACGTGCACAGATCTCATCTGAGTAGATGACTGCCTAGAGCTCAGACGTCCACATACGATGTATCGCAAGCCAGAGAGAGAGAGTGTGTGTGTGTGTGTGTGTGTGTGTGTGTGTGTGTGTGTGTGTGCGTGTGTGCGTGCGTGCGTGCGTGCGTGCGTGCGTGCGTGCGTGCGTGTGTGTGTGGTCACGTGATGTACATTTTCAGCGGTAAAGTGAAGCAGATCTCACATAACATTTGTGAGAAATACTACTGTAAGAACTTTCCCAATGATTATTTGATGTATTTGTTGTGGAGAACTCGCACATTTCTGCGACAATGAGTCACACACAATGTTATTAGAAAGTTCACAGACACACACACATTACGTGCGTTTAACTTTGCACTTTTTGCACGACAAATGTGACAGGATAGACATTAATGTCCACTGCTGTATGGATATTTGTTATGTTAATGTACAAAATGAACCTGATTTAATGTCCACAAAACTGGATTAAAATGTCTTTTTATAATTGTACAGACATGCGGCTGTGGCGATTTTACTGTTCTTACTTTATTACAAACATGCAAAATTTTAAACTCATTCTTGATCACATTTCATAATGATTGATGATCACAGAGAGCTGAACAGATCTTTTAATTCCAGTTGCCTTGCGCACGTCCTCTCTTGTTGATATGATTTTACACGTTACTACAGAGACATGTTAATACATGGCTGTCAATCAAAACGATGGATGGGGAAACCACACTCCTACATCACATTGCGGTCGGCTTCAAATTTGAAGAGATTTGCATCCTATATTAACTTAAATTTAAAGAAAAAGAGGCTTATTGTCTTTATATAACCCCAATATGTCAGTGGACACTCTATCACAGTTCTGTTTATCACAGTTCTGTTTATCACAGTTCTGTTTATCACAGTTCTGTCTAAACAGCTTACAAAAGAGGATTTTCATCATAGTTCCCCTTTAATTCACATTTGGTCCATTTTGTTTTGTTCCGGATTATTGAGGTGACACATTTATTAATATTATTAAGACCACAGTGGAAATAAAAGTGCTTGATCCATGTTTCATTGATCAAATACAGTTGACAGCAATGACCAAAAGCACAAAGACTAAACAAAATGAATGGTGCTGAAGTTAAAATTTGACTACAGACTTTTTTAAAGCAGAATACATCACTTTTTGCATGAATATTTACATATTGAAACATATGCAACTTGCATTTATGACAGCTGTACAATGAAATGCTGTAATGGTGTGCAGTGAAAAACAACTCAAAACGTTTGGTTACTTACAACTTCTTTTTAAAGGAAAAGTTTGTTTATATTTTCATTTACGTATTTGCGTAATTCTTTATTAAATGCATACAGAAATTAAATTATTTTATTTTCACAGATAATTAAAAAAAACTTTACATTGTTTTATAATTTAATAATAACGGCAGTATTTTGCTGAGCATACAACTTTATTAAGCTACAGTTTATTAATTTAGTAAATATCAGTGCAAAATATAAATAAATAAAATAAATATAACTTAGTCACACTTTATTTAAAAGTACAATTCTGCTATGAACAAGCAATTAACTAAGAATTTTAGCTCAATAAATTACTCATTTGCTGCTTCTTAATAGTAATGAAGTATGGTAATATGTAGGATTAGGGATGTAGAATAAGACCATACTATATAAATACTAATAAACAGCCAATAACTTCATAACAAGCAGGTAATAAGCCAGAAGTTAACATTGGGAAATGATACTTAAACCAAATTGTCTATTACTATTAACATTACATCTATTAATTTACTCCGCACTCATGAAATCTTCAGCGTTCACAAGTTTTCAATATTTAAACATCACAAGCTGCAGTGCCATGCAACTGCAGGACCCGCAAAACTGCTAGCCCGACATCCCGCTCTTGTTTTCCAGTCTGGCTACCTAAAATTAATCTTAAAAAAGAAAATAAACATTACTTTAATGCTTTTGCATTCTCTCACAAATTGGGTAATTATATTGAATATAATTTTCCTGCCTGGAGGTTTTCACATGATGTTTTAGAGACAATTAATAAGTAAATAAATTAATGAATTAAAATAATTAAATAAAATGTGGTTATTTAAAAAAAAAAAGAAATTATATAATCGCAGCCTATAATCAATGCAATGTATGCAAATGTAGAACTTTCATATGGATGCAACTTTTATTTATTTATTATTTATTTGGTAAATGTGTGTATTTCTTTTTATTTAATAAATAATATATTTTCTATTCGGGCCACTTACACTTATTTCAGGTTACTAAAAACAATAAAGTGTTCTTGCCCAAAAAACTACTAGGGATTTAGAAATTTTGCGAGCCTTGAAATGGAATATTTATGAAAATATTATCTACATGAGAAACTTGATTTTGCGATGTTCTTCATTTGTGTTTTTGAGCGTGTAGATGCCAGCTAGCCTGTAAACTTCTGAATGTCTGTGATATTCAGTCAGACACAATCTCCTGGTGTTAGAATGAGCGTGCGGTTTACGACTTCCACTTCTGTGGTGAGATGCCATGATGGTTGAATGGGAACAGTTGCTTGCTGGAGAACTTTATGTCTGTGCCACAGTTCCATACAGTCCAGTGCTTCTGGGAAGCTTGCCATTTCAAACTTATTAGCAAACATGCTTTCTTTTTCAATAAGCCATGGTAGGTCGCCAATCCCGTAAACGCAGATACCTCTGATGTATTGTCCTGTGGACACAATTAGTTTTCATCATCAGTAAGAGTGGAACATGTCTACATAAAAAAAAAAAATAAAAAAAAAACTGTCTGATAAGTTGATAACATGATGACTATGCAAAGGGCTTGTCTGCAGGCTGAAATAAATAAGGGCGAGAGGAAAATGATTCACGCATTATGATTCTCTCTTCACTTGGACAGCTTTTTACTTTAATGTTCCATGGTGGAATGATTGCCGTAGCTCATTTTTAAGAAACAGCTGAAGACTTAATCCTCCAACAATAGCTCTCCCTATTTATTCTTTATCTATTTTTTAACCTGTTTGTTTGTTTTGTTTGTTTGTTTGTTTGTTTGTTTGTTTTAATAATAAAAAAAGCTACACACAATGCTAAAATAAGTAAGACTTGTCATTACGTCTACTTATTGTTGCTTATTATTTCATTTATCCATTTCATTCAGTTGATTTGTCCATTATCTATTCTCCATTTTTTAAGTTGCTACGAATAAAAGTGTCTGGTAGAAATATAAATGTGATTTTTTTTTTTTTTATAAATGCACTTGCATCTCCAAATGTGTTTTATGATTGAAATTTAATGCAAATATAGTTGATTACGTGTTTAACGTGATGGAAAAATCTGATTCGGTAAAATAGATCTGTGCAAAAATCAGAACTTTGCTGCTGACTAAAATATGAAATGAGGGATAAAGAAAATCCTCACTGCTTTTTTCTGGAAATATTTGCGATACTATAAGCACTTTCAGATCGTGACATGATATAAAAAAAAGATTAAAAGGTAGAATTATTTGATTTATTCATTAATTTGTGATTACTTTAAAATGACTATGTAATTAAAAACCTTCTTAAATGATATATCCATAGTGACCTTGTTGAGTAATAAAATTAAAATGGAAATAAAAAGAAAAGGAAGTATTCCCACACTTTTAAGGTGCCTAAAATTTCCAACCCTAGAAATAAATGCTATATTTTACTGTAGGAATGTTTGTGCTTGTACCTTTACAACCCTGATGTGCTGTTCCTTGTTGGTCACTCCATTTGACTGCGCGGACATTACCTTCCCATTCTCCTTCTACATTGCTGCCTGGTGCTTCTGTGTAAACATGGAAAAACGGTTTTATGATTCGGAGACCACATGCTTCCTGTCATCGTTATTATTACCAAAGCTTGTTTATCTGAATTGGTTTACTGGAAATAACAGTGAGTCAAGAGCCTTTTAATGCGATAAATGACTACACTGATACTGTGTTATCAGGTGAGGACGAAACTAATGAAATGACTGTTCAGGTGTTGTCTTGTTTGTCAGCAAACCCTAAATATAATGGAATTAAATAATCAATTTGATTGTCTATTTGCATGTACTTTTTACTCTGAAGTGCCCTTCGCTGGGCAATATATCCCGCTTGAAATTTATCAGGTTTTTTATTTTTTTTAAATAGAAAGCTCTGATTGAGGGATTTAAACTTTTGATATGTGCCAAACAAATAGGTGAACGCTCATAATACATCCACAATCAAATACTCGAACGCTCATAATACTTTCACAGCAGTTAATAAATCTACGTTGTAAATAATTTTTTTCACCCGTGATATTGTATCACAATATAGTCAGTTATGGTTTGATGACTTTATTGTCATCTTGTCATAGCCTATCGGAAGACATTTTTTTAATAGACATTTGTCATCATAAATTACATTTGACAAAAAAGCTGTTATTAATCATTGTCTGTCATTTGAAATAATAACATTTCAAACATTAAAAGATCCGATAACTGTGATAAGACAACTGGAACATTTTACAGGTATATTTATAGATACTGAACTGAACTTTGAACTGATTTGAGATGAGGTGAAGGATGACCTATTGCATTGTGAAGTCTTATCTGTACTGCTTGCCTGATATGCTAGTATGCGGTACAATCTGAAATACACACATATATATATATATATATATATATATATATATATATATATATATATATATATATATATATATATATATATATATATACATAAAAAATATGTTAATATGTATACACATAAAAAATAGCTTAAAGGGGCTAATACTTTTGTCCCAAAAATGTTTTTAAAAAAATTCAAAACTGCTTTTATTCTAGCTGAAATAAAGAAATAAGACTTTCTCCAAAGGAAAAAAATATTATCCGACATACTGTAAAAATGTCCTTGCTCTGTTAAAAACCATTTGGGAAATATTAAAAAAATAAGAAAAAAAATCAAAAGGGGGCTAATAATTATGACTTCAACTATATATATATTTATCTTCTTCTTTGGTCCTTAGTCCTGTATGGTTGTGAAAAAATCGAAATAAATATATAACCTAAAGAGGCTAATAATTTTGACCTTAAAAAGGTTCTTAAAAAATGAAAAATTGATTTTATTCTTGCTGAAATAACTGTGTCCAGAAAAAAAAAATATATATATATATATATTATCAGACATACTGTGAAAATTGCATTGCTCTGTTAAACATCATTTGGGAAATGGTGGAGAAAAAGGGGGAAGAAAATCTAAGTGGGGCTAATAATAATTCTGACTTAAACACTAAGTTTACCATAAAACTTTTTTACCATAAAAAAAAGTTTATAATTTAACAAAAAAAGTGTATTCTAGTGATTTTTAAAGATGAATTTCAGCTTCATTACTCCAATCTTCAGAGTCACATGATCCTTCAGAAATCACTAACAATTACATACTGTATCTACTCAGATGGTTTGGTGCTTCTAGCATTAATTCAAAGCAAAAAATTTATTCACTCATTCATAACTCAGTCGGTATGAGTTCTGCTTGATATAAGCAGTTTATGAGTTAACGTAACTCTTTTACATTAAGTCAAAGTAACTTTTTAAAAATATATAAGTTAAACTAACTTATTTCCTTTAGTGATTTTCACTGTTATATTGTTGTTTATATCAAAAAGGTGATTTACCCTTAATGTGGTTTAGCGTCACCCAGTAATGCTCATCTGGACTGTAGCTGTCTTTAGACCAGCTCAGCAAGTCTTTGGCCACTGGGTTGTCGAGGACATACTCCACAAACGGTCTTGTCAAGGAGTAATAAGCCGTCCCGAAGTAAATCTTCAAATTATGCGGTGGTGGTCCCTTCTTTCTCCCAGTCTGAGCCACGTGGGTGTTTTTTACCTCCACATACTGAAATGCAGTCCTGTACCTCATACTAGGCGGCTGCTTGATTCCCGGCGTCATGTTCCTGTCTTTCCATTCAGGAGTTTGCATGTACCGCACCAACTCCAAATTGGTCTGGATGGGGTAATCCTGACCGCACAAATTTATAACCTTTTTCCATTGAATTGGAGATTCCACCAAGTCCTTCATGCAGTTAATGTCGGCCTGCAGACGGGAAAAGCCTGCGTAGGTTACTTTTACATTGACCGATGAGAGGAAAACGTTTGGGAAGCATCTGGATAGGTTTCTGACGCTCGACTTGTATTTTTCTGATGCTTTCTGGTCGATGTGAATGCAGTAGACGTTTTGCGGTGCATAAATGGCTCTCAGGAGTCGCACAAACGTTGCAAGCTCTTTGTGTATGGTGATGATGAAAGCCAAAGGATAATCTTCTTCTTCTTTGCTCAGCGGTGCTGTGATGAAATGCAGCTGGGACAGCAGTAGATCACAGTTGGTGTCTGGTTGGATGTGATAGCTGATTTTCTCACAGTCTTTTCTTTGCCATTTAAACCCGGGTGTTGCAGGTGGAAGAATGTCACAGGTGTTGGATGGTGGGCATGGTAGTGGTGGTGGGGTTGGGGATAGGGTGGTCAAGTCATTTATAGGAAGAGGGTCACTAGCCACTTTGGCTTTAAGGTAGATTGCAGAACATATTAGGGTGCAAATTCCAAGGCAGAAGAGAAAACTGCACTTGGTGTTCTCAAGCTGGACCATAATAGTCCAACATCTGAAAAGCAGCTACAGACCTCCTGGAAACAGAGAAGAGGGAAGTGATCACAGGTGGTTAGATTGTAAAAATAAACATTTCCTTTTCTGTTAATCATTAAATTAGCTTCCTTAACACAGGAAATTAACTGTTTCATTTAATATAGACACATACAGTCACGCAGTCCACAGTCCATACAGTATCTTAAAGTAAAAAAAGGAAATATCTGAGAAATTAGTTTAAAGTTTTCTGCTTAAGTGCATTTTAAAATGTAAAAATGTTCCTGTGGTTTCTTTTTCATTACTATTTTCATCACATATTTCTGCATTTACCCTAGCTGCATTAGATATCTTTGATGATGCCTATATTACAGCATTTATTAAACTAGGTTAATCTTAATTTGTTCATTCTTTACACAGCAAAAAAAAAAAAGCCTTTTCTAACTTAGATTCATTTTCTTAAATCAAGAAGTATTTTCTAGACAACCAAAAAATTGACTTATTTTAAGAAGTAATATCCCAAAATTGAGTTTTTTACTATAATAAACAAAATAATCTGCCAGTGGTGTAAGCAAAATAATCGTATTTTTCGTTTTGACATAAGATTATTTTGCTTATTTTAGTGAAAACTCACTTAATTTTGGCAATTTAACTTCTTAAAACAAGTGAATTTTTTTGCTTGTCTAGAAAATGCTTCTTATTTTTTTAGGGAAAAACTCATCTTCATTTTGACTTTTTTCCCCTTAAAACAAGACAATATCTTTTGCACGTCTGGAATTTTTAAAATGTTTTGATTAGAAACGAGACAAAAAAAATCTAAGAACAGCATTTGATTTCCTTTGTATGTTTCCTTTGTATACTTGTATATGTAGTAAAATATCATTATTACAACATAAATTACAAGTTATTATAATGTGAAATGTGCTTTTTAGTAGTTGTATTAAAGAAAATGGTTCCAAACAAATATATATATATATATATATATATATATATATATATATATATATATATATATAGTTGAAGTCAGAATTATTAGTCCCCCTGTTTATTTTTTCCCTGATTTTGGTTTAATGGAAAAATAATTATTTAACACCTTTCTTAACATAATAGTTTTAATAACTCATTTCTAATAACTGATTTATTTTATCTTTGCCATGATGACAGTAAATAATATTTGACTAGATTTAAGACACTTACAGCTTGAAGTGACATTTAAAGGCTTAACTGGGTTAATTAGGTTAACTAGGCAGGTTAGGGTAATCAGGCAAGTTATTGTATAATGATGGATTGTTCTGTAGGCTTTTGAAAAAAAAAATGATAGCTTAAAGGGGCTAATAATTGTGTCCTTAAAAAATAAAAAAACTGTTTTTATTCTAGCCGAAATAAAACAAACAAGACTTTCTCCAGAAAAAATATATATATATTATAGGAAATACTGTGAAAATGTCCTCGCTCTGTTAAACATCATTTGGCACATATTTTAATAATGAAAAAGCAAAGGGCTGATTTCAACTGTTTGATAAGTGTTCAAAAATTTATTTGAAGAAATTCCTTTATATTGATGTTTAGTGATGGGGAAAGTTAATTTAGAAAGTAATGCATTGCAATATTGAGTCACTCCCCAAAAAAGTAACTAGTTCAGTACTTAGTTAAAGTAAGCAATGCATTACATTACTTTTGAGTTACTTTTAATTCACTTTTTATTACCTGACTGAGGCTTGATCTCTCAGAACTTGTTTTTTCCCTTTCAATTTTTAATAGAGGAGCTCTGCAATTAACAACACAATGTATAACCTTCATTTACCTTAAAAAAAAACGCATAAAAAATAATATTGTAGGATAATTTTATCTGAAAACTTTATGACTCAAGAGCTCTACATGCCGTATACAGATTATTGATAGTTTAAAGCAATGTGTTTGCTACTTTAATACTATTTGTCTTCAGTAAAATCACTGACCATTGAAACTATAATCCCCTTTTCCTTTTTTTTACGATGAGTTCAAAATAATGAACGCATTCTCTCATTGACTGCGTGATTCATTGTGACTACTTTCACTTTAATTCAGCAATTTATTTTTAAAAACTAAAAATAAAAACTACTTTTAGTCATTAAACTAAAAAGTAACTCATATTACATTTTAAAAAGTAACTCAAATATTGCTTATTTTTTAAAAGTAACAGAAAAGTAATATTATTACGTACTTGTGTTGCAAGCATTACCCCCAACAGTGTTACTGTTGATGTTTTAGTCAAAATTTCCTGATGCAAATAATTAATTAAGCTATGGATCAATGTCATAAAAATGGATTGTCACTTGTGATCTGTCACGTAAAATCGGATCACGTCAAGTATTAAAGTTTACTTAATGCATTATCTGATGAGTGTTGTGAAATCATGGACAGAGCTATTCACATCATAAAGTAAACGTATAAACATATTTGTATGTTTAACCAAGGTGTCTCGTGAGGGTTTGTATCTCTCATAGTGACGCATAGTGATGTGGTCCCTCGGTACACACTTTGACAGTGCTGAGCATTGTCTTCATATTTCGGTCTTGTCTCCCCTGGATATATCTCTGTCCTTTCACTCTTTTACATGCTCCAGAACTCCCGGGTGTTTTTTTAATAGCACCCTGGAGATCCTCATTCACCTCGAGGTCTGTAAAAGGTCCCAGTTGCTGGATGCAAAGGAGCTTTGATATCAGTTTTGTAAGTTGTTTAATGAACCCTCTGGGACATTTATAACATGCTGGCGTTTCCCATTGTCACCCAAAGAATGAAAAGCACACACCGTTCTGACAGGTTCATGCAGCATGTATTCTGCGCGACTTGTTAGTTACACTTTAGCTGAAGTTTATGGCTCTGCTATCTACATCTCTTCTGCTTTAAAGCCTCTGGAGGATTGTAAAAATTATGCAATGGGTTTTTACTAATATTATTTTTACAGTAGAGCTGTATGACTGTATGTTTCAGTAAGTGCGACAGAGTTTCAGGTCAAAAGTTGGAATAGATACAGATTTTATATATAAGTAATTCTCTTGTTGGATTTGTTTTATTACACTGTAAAACCCAACCGTCAACTGTAGGGATGTAACGGTATCAGAATTTCACAGTACGATAATACCTCGGTACGGTATTTATTGAATAATTTACAGGAAAAACAAAACTAATGAAAAGACTCGAAAAAAGTGCCAAAAGTGTTTATTTACCTTAGCACTGAACATATCAATGACATACAAATTAGCCATCTATCTGTAAGTTTCGAAACAGGAACTTTAATAACAAAAAACTATTAAACCATATAAAAAAATAAAGTTTTAATTTAGTATTGTTGAAAACTCATCACATTCAACATTTAATCACTCACTCACTTAGATAGAGATGGGTTTTTTAAGGAAAATTGTCATATAACTATAATCTGGTAAAAGCTGGGATCTCTGGGCATTTACAGTGTCCCCTGCAACAGAAAAAAAAAACCCCTCTCATTTATGACTGAGGTTTCTGGGACAGAGAGATATGATTTAGCCAAGGTTGACAGTAGTGGGTAACGTTGTGCATTGTCTTTCCACTACTTGAGAGGACAAGCCATGAGTGAGATAGAGGTCTCTTTGCGGTACAAGTCAATGTCTGCATCAATCTAACAAGTGTGCTGTGTTCTGCAGTCCCCATGACTGTTTTTAGTCGTATTCCCCGACTTATATTTACCACAGTCTGGCAGTGCCTGCATACTGCTTTTTTCTTTGTCTGTCACCTTTTCTCCTTTTTCGTATCTTTTTAGAAAGAAACCGAAATGCTTCCACACATCCGATTTAAAACCCGCTTTAGGTTCGATCATTTCCAGCTCTTTTTCTTCCCCGCTACTAGCAGCACACTCCATTTCCGCATTACTGGATCTGTAGTGACAACAGACCGCAAAAGATGATGGCCACGCCTGGGCTGATGGGAATTGTAGTTCCCGCTACCTCCCGTTCGCTTCATTCGTCTAAGCAAACTTTTCTCAGAAATATAGTTTTATTGAGTCATCCGCCTACGGTAATATTGAAAAAAATTACTACTGCGGTATGACGGTATTTACAATATTGTTACATCCCTAGTCAACTGTATCAAATGAAATGAGTGTAGTTAATTAAAAATTGACTAAAAGTTAATTCTACTCATCTGAATTTTGAACTCCGTGTTGAAGGTATGAGTTAATTAAATACCTCACAGAGTACCTGCGGGGTCTTAAAAGCATTAAAAAATATTACATTTGATAATGGGGCGAGGCAGTGGCGCAGTAGGTAATGCTGTCGCCTCACAGCAAGAGGGTTGCTGGGTCGCTGGTTCGAACCTCGGCTCAGTTGGCGTTTCTGTGTGGAGTTTGCATGTTCTCCCTGCGATCGTGTGGGTTTCCTCTGGGTGCTCCGGTTTCCCCACAGTCCAAAGACATGCGGTACAGGTAAATTGGGTAGGCTAAAATTGTACGTAGTGTGTGAATGTGTGTGTGGATGTTTCCCAGAGATGGGATGCGGCTGGAAGGGCATCCGCTGCGTAAAAACTTGCTGGATAAGTTGGCGGTTCATTCCGCTGTGGCGACCCCGGATCAATAAAGGGAATAAGCCGACAAGAAAATGAATGAATGAATGAATGAATGAATGAGTCAAAGAAAACATACTTAATATTACACTACCCTTTTTAATTCATGGTTATTTAATTTGGAAGATCTGATATCCAAATAAGTAAATCATAATCAATAAATACTCATTTAAAATTGTTTGATGTTTTTCCTCTAGAAAAAAAAATATTTATAAAGTTATATGAACATTGAATTGTCAAAAACTCATTATAAAAGGGTTAGCCATTGTATAAATGTGTTTTTTTTTTCAATTCAACATTCAAATTAAAGTATCGAATACAGAACCTCTAAATATAAATTTAAATGGCTACATACCCATTATCAGATAATTTTCCAAAACAAACAAAACAACGTTTTTGTAAAAATATATTTTATGTGATCTAAGAATTTTTAGATATTTGGACTAGAAATGAGTAAAATGCAATAGGTAAAACATACTTTGCTTTGTAATTATTACATTTCTGTACCTGAATACTTTTTGACGCCCCAGAAAATTGTCAAATAATAATGTTCAAACTATCTTTTGAAAAAGTTTTCATATCGCAATAATTATCTCAGAAAAATTAAATATATCGCTATATCTGCTTTTTAAAATATCGCGCAGCCCTACTTTATTCATTGTTTTTAATCATCAATCAATCATTTAGTCATTTAACTTTAGCATCAGTTAAATAGTTTTCAATGGTGTAACTTTTGTGCACAACCTGTGCTATGCATACAGCATTGCTTCATCTTTATGTGTAGTGCAGGGGTGCCCAAACTCGGTTCTGAAATGCTGGTGTCCTATCTGTAGTTCCAACCACAATCAAACACACCTGGGCCAGCTAATCAAGCTCTTACTAGGCTTTCTAGAAACATCCATGCAGGTGTGTTGATGCAAGTTGGAGCTAAAATATACAGAACACCGGCCCTCCAGGACCGAGTTTGCGTACCCCTTGTGTGGTGTTTTAAATACTTAATTGTAAGATTTCTTTTTAGTTTTTTATGCTGCCTATGTAGGAAGTGAGACTGGTTACTGGTTTGGAACAGAACTGTATTTATCATCAGTTTCTAGATAACATGGGAAGTCAGATTTGCTTGATCATGCAGATATGCTGTTCCCGTGCAAATATATTTTAAGGGCACATTTCTCTACCTCTGACTAATGCATTTCGGTTTTAGATGTAAGTGATATATTTCCGGAGATGCATGGTTAAAATTATAATTAGCAGAACAGCTTGATAAAGTGAGAACACCACGAGAAGTCTACAATTAGAGCCCATTAAGTCCTCTAATCTCCCATCTTTTAGCACAGACTGGCGAGTTGATGCTCGCTAGTATTTTAGATGTAATAGATGGTAAATGACTGTCAGAACTGCAAAAAAATTAAATAAATAAATGACCCTTGCAAACTTGATCACCTGAAAAGTCAAAGCATGAGAAGCATTGCTCTGATTACTCATGAAAATTGTGAATGTATGTGGTTATGGTGAAATTTTTGTGACAGGTGGTTTGCTTTGTTATTAAATAGTATTATCCCTGCTTGAAATAAGAGCAGGGAAACATTTGTAAAACATAAAACATTTACAAATGTGAAACATTTGTAAGTTGCTTTGGACAAAAGTGTCTGCTAAATGACTAAATGTGAAAGTAGGACATTTTTCACAGTATTTCCTATTATATTTGTCTTTTGGAGTGTTATTTTTTATTTTTTTTCTTGGTTGGAAAAAATATATATATTAGAATAAAAATAAAGCTTTAAAGTTTCCTGAAAGCCTTGGATAAAAGTTTCACGGTATAACGTTATTGTGATTACCGCTCTAAAATATGTTCTTTTTTTAAATGTCTGGGTATAAAACAACTTTTTTTCCATTGAAAACAATGTTTTATTTTGGGAAACATTTCTGCTCAAAAAATAAAGGGAACACAATGTATCTCCAAGTATTCTCTTAGTTTTTTTTTTGTGCAGTATATTCTGGAACAGTAAACATGTCAGGCTAAATAATTAAAATAAATCATTGACCTATTTTCATTCAAAAGCACAAATTTCTTCATAACACATTGAAAAAACACCCACATTTAAAAAAAAAACTTTATGTATACCCTAGGAACTTCATAATAAATTATTTTAGCAGTTTTAAAACCTTGACTTTTTTTCAAACCACATTAAACCATGAAACTGCTCATTATGCCTAAATATTAGCCCCCTATAAGTAATTATATTTGGTGCATCTTTGAAAAAGAATACAAATCTCACTGGAGGGCTGATAATTTTGTCTTTAAATGTATATAGAGAGCAAAACAAGTATTGACATTTTACTTAAACTAATAAATCATGTACATCCAGAGAAACTTTATTGTTAACAAATATTTAAATTAATTATTGAAATTGATTTTTAAGCAGTACATTAAAAGCTAACATGCTTTTAGAAAAGAGACAGTAATATTATGTTTAAAAATGTTTATGATGTGGCATAAATCAACAGTGTCTATTAATGATCGATTATTGATGTATTTAAGCAAATTGTTGACTAACTTTGATATCAAGCTAAGCTTGAAGTAATCATCACAACATGACATTATTATCCTGTCACTTTGAATATAAAATAATCTCCCTGTGTCATAAAAGACACTTGATTCAGTCTCATAGGCTGTGAACTGTAGTATAATCTATGCTCAATGTAAAAGATGGTGAAGCCTGTAAAACTTCTGTGAAACTTAAAGCTTGAAGAGCAGCAGATTTGTATTGTTTGATTATTTGCCAACATGAAGACTTTCAGCTTCAACAGGTTTCCTATCAATATTTCTAGTAATAATTTCTAAAACAGGAAGGGCAAAGTCGGCCACGAAAGTCTAAAAATATGTATGATCAACCTAAATAAGAGCTTTTAGGCACAAAACATCACTGATCAAAATAAAGAAATGCTTTTCTACTCCTCCTGTTTGATTCAAATTGTTAATACCAAGATTTAACCTGTTGGATTTGTACATTGATTGTAATCTTCCATGTTAATGTTTAACCAGCTAAATTCTGCATTATTATAATATTTTTTATTTTAAAAATCCTGATTTCATTGACATTTTATATTTCAGTATTTCCCTTGTGTTTAAATGGCAAACTAATCCTCCGTACAGGCTTTCCACTACACATGTTTTGGTATTCTGAAGTATAAACATTGAGCGCAGCCCAATAAAATCAACGTGTTGCCTACCTTTCAGCTCGTGTCCGCTCCTGTAAATGGGAAACCAGATTAAACATTCACAAACATGTGCGTCTCTCGGAGTCTTGACTTCCACATGACCTCAGTCTATAAAGTGAGCCCAAATCCAGCGTCAGTGCATCAGAGAAAGCCTCTGCTTTGTGTGTGAATTTCTTTTCTCTTTTTTTTTGTGCTGTTGTTGCTGTGATCTGCTCCTACGAGCGGCTGCTCAGTTACACCTCCCTTGAGAGGAGAGGAGAGGAGAGAAGAGGAGGAGCTTGAAGAAGCACAAAGCATTTACACCTCTTTTTTTGACACTCCCGAGTCTCCTATCAAAAGAGAATAGCATTGTCATGAAGTTTTGAGTTTCTGTTTTTTTTATGCTCAATCCTAACCAGTCGCAGAACCTGTATGGTGTTGAGCAGAACTGGTTTGATGCCAGTTGAGGTGGTTTCAGGTTTAGAGTTATCCACTAGTGCAGATTACCTTGAACTTTGGGGAATTAGAATGTATTTGTTTACTTATTGAGACTATTAGTTAATCTCATTCATGGACTGAAATTTTGTCGGCTAGTCATTTACAGTGCTCAACATAAATTCATGAATATTTTTCTCCATTTTTCAGTCAAAATACAGTTGATAATTATTTAAATACTTAATTAAAGTATTTAAATAATAATAATTATTAAAATACATGCATAATTAAATAAATAATTATTAGCCCCCTTTTTATTTATTTTTTATTTTTTTCCCAAATGATGTTTAACAGAGCAAGGAAATTTTTACAGTATGTCTGATAATATTTTTTCTTCTGGAGAAAGTCTTAATTGTTTTATTTCGGCTAGAATAAAAGCAGTTTTTAATTTAAAAAAAATAATAATTTTAAGGTCAAAATTATGAGCCCCTTTAAGCTATATTTTTTTCAATAGACTACAGAACAAACCACTGTTATACAATAACTTGCCTAATTACCCTAACCTGCCTAGTTAACCTAACTAATCTAGTTAAGCCTTTAAATGTCACTTTAAATATTACATTTAATCAGTAATTTAGTTAATCAGCAAAAATACACACTCAGGCCCTGTTTACACTAATACGTCCTTGTTTTAAAATGACATTTTAGAATGAAAAGGATCCACATCCACACCGTGTTTTAGCTAGCATTTCTGAACAGCCCTCCGTCCACTGAAAACGCACATCACATGACCACACGCACACTGTCATGCACTCGTCTGAGTGAGCTCCAGAGAGCAGTGCATGTCGGACAGTTTATCAAGGATGTACCGCTGGATCGCGTCTTACTATAGTTGTTAAAGGTGATCTTTGGTTAATCTTGTCTTTATCTAACGACTCTTCTTTCTTTTGAATCAGGTGTGTCAACGTGTCACAGCGTCAGTACACTGCTTCAGTCTTTCACTTTCACACTTGTACTTAGTAATTTTAGTGAAAACCTCAGATATGGTTCGTTGTGCACCGTTTTTACCGACCAACCTCCTGCAGAAAAGTGATTGACAGGTGGTAATTTGTGTGCAACTTATCTTTATTTATTTATGAGATGTTTATGGGTAAAATAAAGATCATGCGAGTCAGGTAGTTGAAAAGGGTAGGCTACAAATAATGAATTCGTTATGAAATAATTAACTGTTCATAAATAATTAATTCACCTCCGCCTATGACGACGAGGCCATCGTCTATTGCGATGTTTCCCATTAGACATCGTACAATGCCAAATTGGTCGACATCGCCAAACCCTAAAACCTATATGCATTGACAGAATTGTGTATAATATAATTAAGAATGTATATTAAAGGTCCATGAAAAACCTCGTTTCAGCAGGGTGTTTTCACACCTCTACTTTGGAAAAAGTCAGAAAAGTGGGCGTGTCTAACTCTGTTTTGATATTTGATTCGATGAACTGCTGTAAGTAATGTTTGATACCGCACGGCGAATGAGAGAAAAAAAACACCCTCAGCATTTCCCGGAAACTTAGATGCACACGGCAGGTAGTGTCAGAAAGCCGCGTGTGTTATTCCGGTCACAAAATGCGGTGAAAATCCTACACAAGGTTAAAGTTTGGTTGTGGTGCTAACATGTTTACACTCGGTGCAATAGTTCGATACAAACAAACTGAATAAACAAAGAGCACTGGTCGCTCACTTACCCAATCTGTAGAGACAGGACAATCACCAGCAACTAGAGCCGCGTCTTTATTAAGAGGAGACTACAAGCGAATCTGGATCTCAGCATTTGCAGATGAGAACTGCTCTCAGGTAAACAATAATCCTCCTTAGACACGTAAGTTATTGTTGTCGATCGTCGCGTACACTGTTAATCCACACGTGACTCCAGCTGCGCTCTCACAGAGAGAAAATGAAAACAAAACTTAACTGCAGCAAACTATAAAAGCAATACTATAAAACTATAAAAGCAACACTTCACGCTTGTTTTGCCGACACAACATGGCGTCTCTGTTGTCTAAACACTGTGACAGTAATGAATATTAATAAAGTTGCACAATAGAGTGTGCCGATTGGTTTGAACCAAGCCTTACTCATGCATTAATGCATCACACTGTAAGACGTAATAAGACACACTCTGGCACAGACGTCCAGTCTGCACGCTGGAATACACACTATTATGTCATGACCGTGACGCAGCTTCAAAAATTCGTTTTAAACCGGAAGTACGAATTTGCTTGAAATAACGCAAAAACAACCAACTTACATTTTTAAGTGAAATATAGGTGTCCTAATAGTGTTTTAGCAGTGTGGGACACGTATACGACTGTCAACAGCTCAAAAAAGGTGTTTTGGTGTTTCGTCACCCTTTAAGACAATTTTTTTTCACACGTTATTTTTATCGCATCAGCTAGATGTAGTGTGGTTTCAGTAGACGTGTTGCAGATTTTCATCTCCATTATTACCTTCATGATCTCTGTTTGCTCTCTCTGCACCACCTGTCCCCTTTGTCCATCCACTGCCTGCTTTCTAGATAAATATGATTCCAGATGGATGTGTTTTTATCGCTAGAGTGCAGAGACCGAAAGACCTGAGCTGATCTGAGAGCTGTGCGATGGCCTGAGCATTTGCTGATCAGCTATAGAGATTAGGGCTCGTCTATGTGTCTGTGTGCAAGACAAAAGCAGAAGCTGAATGCCTGTCTCTCTGTTCATCATGTTTGGCTTTTGGTCTACATTTATTTTTGCTGTTCATTCAAAGCCACCATTGTGTCCGATTCACTATTATTTACTTAATAAATATGTTTAATGCAATTTCTTATGAAGTTCATAGAAAATGAAAGTTTGCATTAGGCTTTGTTAAACTGCTCTCTGGAATACTTGATTCTGATTGGCCAATCATGACATTCAAAGGTATGTTATTTCCAGATAACAACCATATAAAAATATGAATAGAAATCTTTCTTAAACGTATATCAGAATAAATAGTCATATATTTATTATGGATTATGGCTTATATGATGATTTAAAGTGGCTCAGTTCAGTCAATATTTAAGTTAAATGTGTTTACTATGAATTTACTTACAGCTGCACACATTTTCCCATTAATATTTTTTTTTTTTTGTAATTAACCTAGTTAAGCCTTTAAATGTCACTTTAAGCTGTATAGAAGTGTCTTGAAAATATATATAGTCAAATATTATTTACTGTCATCATGGCAAAAATAAAATAAATCAGTTATTAGAAATGAGTCATTAAAGTATTATGTTTAGAAATGTGTTTAAAAAATCTGCTCTACGTTAAATAGAAATTGGGGAAAAATTAAACAGGGGGGCTAATAATTCAGGGGGGCTAATAATTTCAACTTCAACTGTATGTAGCAGAGCGCTTCCAACATTGATCGTTTTGCTCTCCATGACGTAGTTGCGAATATATTTTTCATGTGTAAGTAGCATAACTGTAAATAGATTATATGCCTCATTTAATGTCCTGCATGTAAACAAAGCTTGAACTCAGAGCTAAAGCCGACTCAGAAGACGGTTATGTTTCAGAAGACAGTGGTTATGTCATGGTTTTTATTATATTTTATTTAGATTTTATCATTTATAACCTCTTTCCTTGTTTTTATTTTTATTTTATTTTGATTTGACTGTTTGTAAAATGTTCGCTTGTTCTCATTTCACTGTATATAGAAACAGTTAAAAAAGTTCCTTGGTCAACTTTTTATTATTTTGTTATAATTTATTTCATTTTAATTTCAATATTTGTAAAATATTTTCTTGATCAACTTTTATATTATTTTAAAATTTCATTATAATGTTTTTTATTTAATTTTAATTTTACTGTTTATAAAATCTTTGCTTGTTCAACTTAATTATTTTATTTTATTTTGATTTCTCTGTTTATAAAAACTTTTCTTGTTCAAATTTTTATTTCACTATCTTTTTATTTTAATTTTAGTATTTATAAAATATTTTCCTGTTCAACTTTTATATTATTGTAATATTTTATTTTAGTTTTATTTCATTTATTTTTTTATTTTGTTTTGATTTCAGATTATAAAATCTTTCCTTGTTCAATTGTTTTATTATTTTAACATTTTTTTTATTTTTTTATTTATTTTTTATTTAAATATTTATGAAACCTTTTCCTGTTCAACTTTTTATTATTTTGACATTTATATTTTATTTAATTTTATTTTAATTTAAGTATTTATAAAACTTTTTCCTGTTCATCTTTTTATATTTTAACCTTTCTGTTTTTTATATTAATTATTTATAGTTTATTTTATTTTCACTGTTTATAAAATCTTTTTCTTATTCTACTTTTTATAATTTATTTTATCTATTTTATTTTGATTTCAATATTTATAAAATATTTCCTTGTCCTGCATTTTTAAAATTATTTTTACATTTCATTTTATTATTATTTTTTACATTTTTTTGTTTGTTTTATAAATGTTTTTACTATTTATAACCTTCTTTGTTTCCAGATTGTACTATTCTGGACATTTCATTTAAGTTCTATATAAAACATTTTACTACTACCACTGCTAATATTACTGTGTAATTTATTATATGTAAATCAGTGTTTTTGTTGTTTTATTTGTTTGTTTTACCAGTCAGTAATGTTTTCGGTCATTTTAATATTCCTATTGTTGTTGTGTATATTACAGTGTGGAGATCCTTTCCAAGAAGAAGACCTTGTGGTTTTGAATGGTACTAAAGAGGAAGTGGAGACGCTACAAAAGGCCATGGAGGAGCGCCGATCAAAGGCT